CACACACACACACACACACACACACACACACATACACACACATCACCATTTGGCCCAAAATGTTGTGATTACATGATACATGTTAATATGACTATATAATAATAATTATTATTATTTTGATATTGTCATTATTACATTTTATTCCTATTATATTCTTCTTATTATTATTAAATTAAATAGTAAACACAATAATTAATATTACTATTGAAATATTTAATGTAAAATAAAATTCAAAATGTTTTTATTTTACAGTACAACTGTAAAGCGACAATTCTAATATTTGTCTTCATTTCTTAATTTCAGAAAAAAATGCAGGGAGCCTTTAATGCTTCCTTTTTTATTTGACAGAAGTTTTGTTTGGATTAATCATGCAGTGCGACTGTGTGCTGTGTTTGTGTCAGATCGAGATGGCTCAGAAGCTGCTGAACTCGGACCTGGCGGAGCTCATCAGTAAGATGCGTCTGGCGCAGCAGTACGTCTTGACCAGCCTGCAGCAGGACTACAAGAAGCAGATGCTGACCGCGGCTCACGCGCTCGCCGTCGACGCCAAGAACCTGCTGGACGTCATCGACCAGGCGCGGCTGAAGATGCACTGACTCCTGATGCTGGATCATCACGGAGGACACCTTCAACCGAGCAGACGCTACATGCATAAACCTTTTATAATAGAGATTCTTGGGGATTTGGTGGAGCGGAGAGGATATCGCAGACGTATTGTTTTATAACCGTTAGCAGCATCATGTTTTATTTTGTATCCAGAAATGAACTTTTTTCAGCGCTGGAGAATCTGCAACTGGAACCCAATGAACTCCAATGATGGTTTTCCAGTGATCCAAAGGCTTACACGTGATTTTATATCGTCGATGTGTTGATCTCAAAGTGATCAAGGTGCTTTAACAACATCCTGAGAAACTCGCCGAGACACGAGCATACGCTCGCATGTACAGACTCACAAAGCCAAACCACAGTGATATTCAACAGATTTTTAAAAGGACTCACAGCGATTGTATGAAACTGAGCTGCCCTGACGCGAGCATCATATTACGCTGGACTCCGAAGCCAATATAGTCACATATCAGTCACTTGAAGCACATATTGGTAAATTGTTATAATCAAAGCTGCCTTCTGAATTCATTTTAAAAGACTTAATTCTGTTATTTTTTACCACACACTAGGGTTTATGTAACCCGTTTGAGTTTGGACTAGAATTACTTTTGTGTACAGAACAATCGTGAAATCCATTTTTGTCATTAATATAAATTATTCTCAGGAAGAAGCAACTGTACAGATCTTTTAACTAATAAAATGCTATTATCTTTAGCTGAAGGTGTCCTGGGCTTATTTCTGCTGGACTGCCATTGATTTTCATTTTTTGGGGTTAGTAATAAAAGGTCATGACTGAGTTGTTTTAATTATTCAATTTATTTCGTTATTTCATTTAGTATTTATTTTAGTTGATAATTGTTGAGAAAAAATTCTAGTCATGCTCTGAAATGACGATTGTCTGAAACAGTCGTCAAAATCATGATCAAACTGAACATGCTTTGGATAAAAGCTTTGGCTAAATCATGGGGTTTCAAAAAAATTCATATTTTCTTGGCAACAAAAATTATGTAATAAATTTTTATTTAAAAAAAATGTATTTGTATTTTTATATATTTTATAAACTAGATTTTTATAAATTATTTTATTTTTTATTTATATATTTTTATAAATATTCCTTTGCATTGTGCAAGAAAAATGGTAAGCGTTATATAAGGTCAAGTTGAACAAAATCGTAAGTAGTCTCTTGATTTCTCACCAGTCTTTTGAAAAGTAGAACGACCATAACAAGTAAATGTTTAAATTAGTGTTTTTGCTGTAAAGACTTGTAGACTTCTGGCTAATGTAAGCTTATTTTTTCCCTTATAAACTACATATACAAAAGAAATATTTTCTCTTTTTAAGGTGGATGGTTCTTTAGAACCTCAAGATTCACATGCAAGAAAGCATGTATGGCATGAGATTTTAACACTTCACAATATTTATAAATGCATTAATGTTAATGCACTATATATTAGTCTTCATCTTTGAACAGCAGTATTTTTATCTAATGTCAACATTTAGTTTTTCTCCAGATCCATTAAATACTAACATTCAACTATTGAGTAGTGTATTAGTAAATG